GGGAGTGGCATTCACCTGGCTTCCGATGTCCAGGAACCACGTCATAAAGCCTTTGGGTTCAGGCACTCCTGTTACCCTGAAATAAATGGAGCATGCTTGGCCCCACCGTCCTGAAAGGCCACGTAGGGCCCGTCGAGGTCGAGTGCACTTAATCGTTGGGGATTTCCTGTCTGGAGAGTGAGGGGTGCAGCTCTGCCAAGTGTAATTAAACCTTCACCCTCAGATGCTTCTCAGCATTTATCCACAGCAACATGTGGTTTGTGTCCTGCTGGGACTTTTAGGGTTATTGCATTGAGAGAGAGTGGGGAGGGGATGCTTTTTTTTCTTGAAATTTCCCATTTGTCTCTGAGCTGAGCAGTTTTCCTGAGGAAGAGCTGACCTTCCCAATACCCCCAGAGTGCCACCCTGTTCTCCCCCATTTCTCTCCTTTCACGTTGTGGGGCTCTAGGGTTCAAAGGCTACACATGGCTTGGTTGCTTCTTTTCAGTTGTCCAAAAAACCCTGTCCATTCTTCTCTGACGTGGGTTTTCATTTCAGATTTATTAAGGCATTGGAACACCTTTCCCTTCTGAGTTCTGAGATGATCAAGTGCACATTTCATCTCTGTGTTTGTTCTACACATAAAGCATTTTGGACCACTGGGCTTAAGGCATTTCACTCATATTTGTGTGGAATAGTCCCTTCTTCAAACTATGCTCTGTCATCTTTGCTGAAAATAGAAGCCAATCTATTTCTGTTGACTGTAAATACAAATCCATGATAAAGGTCAAAATACACTGATGAAAGGAACCCAGGTGATTCTCCCGTTTGATAGCTTTCAACTCAGAAGGTGGAAAAAACAAGGCAGGTGGGACTGGTTTTCTGACAGAAGACTCTGACTTCAGCTTCAGCCCCTCCCCTCCTTCCTGTTGGATAAAGGTTGTCCTCACTGTTGTGTGTGTGTATCATTTTTGGCAGAAACCACTTTCCCAACCTCTGAAGGCTCCCAGATGCCCGTCTTCTTGGTCAAGTTCCCAGGCCAGGATGTTTGTGGGATCGGGTGCCTGGGCACCCCTGGAGAATGCTTGCCCTGAGATGCCTGCTCACATCTGGTGTTTAGAGAGGATCTGAAGAAGTCTGCATCCTTCTTGGCCTTGACAGAGTCCATGGTGCATTTTCCCAAGCACTTTGCCCCTTCATTTTTAAAGTGATCTATTTTCTCAGGGAAATGCAGTCCGTATGTCTCTGACTCACACTGAACTCATCAGACTGCTGTCAACCGGTGAAGTCCGGTGGTGTTTGCAGCACCCAAGGGAGCTGTTGCCAAGCTTTGCAGGGTATGGGGTGCATGGCCTCTGCTAGTCCCACTTCAGACCACGTCTCCTCCCGCAGAACCTCATGGGGCCAAAGTAAACGCAACTCTCCATGCCTAGAATCTGTGAGTGATCCCCTGAAACCCACCTAAGGACTTAATAAGAAAAACCTGGTCTTGCTTCCCACCTCCCATCTCCTCTCTGTTTCCCTTTCCTTAGAAAGCACTCAGCGTTGCAAGTGAGTCTGGGGAGGCAGATAAATGTAGGGAGTTCTGACATCGGTCTGATGACAAAGGGCCAGCCCGGCCTTGGGTTCAGCTGGGTGCCTGCCATTGACCTGACTTTCCTCATCTGGGGAAGACAAATGAGCATCCCAAACAAAGAGCAAGCAAAACTCAGATTTTCTAGAAGCCAACCTTCCACTGGGAGCACCGCCAACCCCGACAGGCTTCCCAATCTGCTGTGATACGTGGATGGTGGACCCCAGCGCGAAGGGCTCTAAGACCAGAGGCTGACTGAACACAAATGCCGACAGCGGTGCCCACCGCTGAGGCGTCTGCTGCTAATTGCTGCCCAGGGCTCAGCAAGATGCTTCATTATCACAGAAAATGCAGCTATGTTCAGTTCTGTGGGAGGAAAGTAAGTGCCTGCACGTGTTTTAGATACATCTTCTACATGGTCGAGGGAAACAGCTAGAAAATTCTGGTAAAACAAAGTTAACCCCCAAAGTTGAGTAACTATAACATACTGCTGCCTCTGATATTTAAAGGCAGAGGATGACAAAAGTTACCTTGAGTTGGTTGTTTCCTGTGAGCCAGGAATGTCACGTACTTTACGTGCAATCCTACCCCATCCAGGGGTTATCGTCACCTCCCTTGTACCCGGGAGGACTCAGGTGGAGGTGGCACCCTTTAGGAGGTGGTGGTCCTGGCCCCCAGCCTCTCCAGCCCCCACCCGCCCGCTGTTTCTCCCAGGACATCATCCATCATAGATGCTTAAGTATCTGCTTTCAGATGCTGCTTTTCTCGTAAAGGGAGTCTGAGTTTTCTCTCAAGGAGGCTGTAGTCCAGCCTCCCTCTGCAGGTCAACACAGGACTGAATCAGACACCACCCAAGCCAGGAATCAAGGCTGAACTCTTCCTTCAAGGAGAACTATGTGGCGAGAAGGGATGGAGAAACACTCACCGCATCTGAGGAGACGAATTTCCCTGATATTTTCTTGAGAAATGATTTCGGAGAAGCCAGAGGTGGAGTCAGAAAGCAGGGCCCCCAGATCCTGGGGCGCACACACATGTGCCCAAGGAGGCAGCTGGGCTTCAGAGGGGGCATTGAAGGTGGGAGATCACCACACCCATTTCCCCACCAGCTGCCCGAAGAGGCAAAATGAGACTCGTGTGAAGTGCCTTATCCTAGTGTCTGCTCATGGCCATGGCTCTGTTGCAGGTGAACTTGAATCTGTAAGCAGTTTAAATTTGACCAAGGCAATGTTTTTCTCAACATGGAATGGCCATCTTGGCTTTTTTGGCATGGCACCCAGAGCTCTAATCAAGGCTGGTCTGTGGGTAGACTTCTGCACAGGATTGTGGTTTTCTCCTTTCTGTTTTTTGGGTGTGGTCAGCATGGGGATGGGGTTATACTGGATTTAAGCACATCTCACTGCACATAGCTCAGCTGGTAAAGAATCCGTCTGCAGTGCAGGAGACCCTGGTTCGATTCCTGGGTCAGGAAGATCCCCTGGAGAAGGATAGGCTACCCACTCCAGTATTCTTGGGCTTCCCTTGTGGGTCAGCTGGTAAAGAATCAGCCTGCAATACAGGAGACCTGGGTTCAACCCTTGGGTTGGAAAGATCCCCTGAAGAAGGGAAAGGACACTCACTCCAGTATTCTGGCCTGGAGAATTCCATGGACCATATAGTCCACGAGGTCACAATAAGTTGGACACGACTGAGCAACTTTAACTTTCACTCCTCACTGAAACTGGTCTGCAGAATCAGGCCAAACCCAGGTCCTGTGGTTGGTTCTCAGCCTTCCTGCTTCTGGTAAGTCTAGAAATTCTGGGGTTGGGGGGGGATGCCCTGTCCATCTTGCTTCTAGGCCCCTTAGAAGACCAGATGTTCAGAAAGATGTGCTGCAAAACGCAGACTGAAAGAAAATCTTTCTGGACACTTTTCAGTCCCTTAAAATGTGTGTGGGTTTTGAGACAATAAAGAGCTGGCTTTAATCTTGGCAAAGCTGAGGGAAACCAACATGGTTCCTTATCAGCCCAGTTATTTATCAGGAGTGAGATAACTTGGAAAGAACTTCACAACCAGAGGAAGGTGCTGGGAGATTGCTCACAAGCACCAACTCTGAGGACCCGTTTGAAGCCTGTCTTCCCCGGCCTAACGTGAAGCCAGGGCCGCCCTGATTCCCACGTGTGGGTGGTGGGGCCTCTGGCCGTGTCCAGTTGGAGGAATTCAAGGAGGCAAAGCGGGAATGTCTATGATTATTTTTAAGGTTTCCCAGTGCATTTTTAAATTTAGTTTTTATTTTATATGAAACATCTATTGGGTTTTGGATGTTCTATTATAACTGGGGGAGGCTAAGCCAACTGTAGTGTGTGTGTGGTGTGTATGTGTGTGTGTGTGTGTGTGTGCAAGAGAAACACAGAGAGCCAGAGAGCCAGAGATAGACACTGAGAGACTGAGAGGAGCAGAGTGATTCTCCCGCCCCGAAGCTCCCAGAACACATGCTCTCCAGTCTGTGTCTCTGAGCCAAGCTGTGATTCCCACCACCCTCTGGCCTTTTCAGATGTGACCCAGATGACAAAAGCACGCAGGATTTGAACCCTCGTGAAAATCAATGTGACCCACTCCCTCCAGCGACAACACACGGAAATTAAAATTCCCAGAATCCATGACCCATCTCAATCATCGGGAAAGTCCCATCTCAGCTCCGACTTGAAGGATGAATGTGTTAGTCCCCCGCAGCCCTGAACCGGGCTCAAAGCAGGACTTTGATCTTCCTACATGAGAAGAGTGACTTTAAATTATGAAAGATTGCTTTTGATGACTGGAATAAAACGGGTCTGCTCCCACCATGCAGGCTCCTCGTCCCCCCTCTCACATTCCTGGACTTCCCATCTGGGTATCCAAAAGCTGACGGCTCAGGGGAGAGGCGAGGAGGTGTGTGTGTGTGACAGCTCTGCTGGAGATGGAGTGGACTATAGGGGCGGGCACTAGGAAATGCCAGTCTGGGTCTGGTCCTCTGTGCCTGGTGCATGGATGTCCAGCCCACATGATAAGGTGTCAGCATGGGCTTGCTGCTGGGACGGGGGAAAGGAGGCAGGAAAGGATACAGGAAAGGATGCAGAGGGTGGGGAGGCTGTGGAGGGGAGATGAAAGGACAACTTCTAAGGCTCCTTTAAGTTGTACCATCTTGAGCAGAGCCAAGCCTGAATCATGTAAAAACTGGCTGCACGCCCACATCTGGCGATGTTCGAATGGTTTTATAAGCAAGAGCTCTGCACCTGGCATGCGGATTGGTCGGAGGTGGGGGCGAGGCGCCTGTGAGAGGTCCCTGGACTGGTGGCCAGATGGATGCCCTGAGCAAGAGGGAGCCTTTCTGGGCACTTGACCTCCTGGTGCGGCCAGGTGACAGGGTCCTGTCCTTGCCAGTATGTGATCTGTGTTGTTTCAAACCCTTCCCTCCCCTCCTGAATTGAAAGCCATGCCTCTGCTCTGCTTCTACTGGTAAGTGGAATTTTCTCCAGCTTCTCTGGGAAACATGACCTTTTCCTGGAGCTGCGATTCCATCCATTCTGCCCAGACCCCTCCCCCACACGTCCTCTGCCCCAGTGGGTGATCTGAGATCCTCAGCCCCCCTGGGGCCCTAGTGTTAACTTGCCTCTGTTTGCTGCCGCAGGCTCGTGGCAGCCCTGGCTGGGTCTGAGGTCACAGCTGACTGTGCCCCTGTGGGTCCTGTGTGCCAGGGTCCCTCCTACAATGAGGGCTAACCCGGCCCAGTTTCCGCAGCTTCCGACCCACCCAACACTCGGGAAGTGTGGAGATGTGGACCTGAGTCCTCTTCCCAGAGGAAGAAAAGAAGCGAATGTGCTGGGTGACACTCGAGGGGCGGGGTGGGCAGGCATTCAGTGCAGTCCCTGGCCTGGCATTGCTTCTCAGAGAGAGGCCCAAGGGGGCCGCGGCTGGACCGCCTGCAGTCCCTGGACCCGAGTGTGTGGAAGTCTTTGGCTCTGTCAACTACAAATTGTCACTCACCAAGCTCCATAGAGAACCAGGTCTGGAAGGCCCCCAAACTGGCCCTGAAGTCCCTGACTTATTTAGATTTGCTCATAAAAACAGCACAGTTGTTGGTTCACGTTAAGGCGATAGCATGTGAGTTGTTTCTCGGACTTCTAGCTCTGGCAGGCAGGGTCCTGTAACCACCGCTGCATGCACGTGGCATCTCACAGGCCTGGCTGGCTCTGCTCTGCTTTCCATAGACAGGAGGAAAGAGAGAGGAAAGACAGAGAGAAATGGAAGTTGAGAGAGTACCTGTTGGACACGGGTTTTGCTGATCTCATGTTTCATGGTGAATGAGTTAACTACTCCTTTTAAAAGACAGCCTTTGCCATACATCAACATTCATCAGCCATACGTGTACACATGTCTTCTCCTTCTGGAAACTCCCTCCCACCTGTCACCCCTCTAGGTTGTCCCAGAGCCTCGGGTTGCCTTCCCCGAGTCATACAGCTAATTCCCACTGGCTATCTATTTTACATATAGGGCAACACAATACTATAAGCAATTATCCTTGAATTAAAAATAAATAAATTTAAAAAGACAGCCTCTGCATTTCCTCTTTCCTACAGCTTCTATTTCCTATAAAAAGTGGTTGGAATTTGACTTAAGCTTTGACTCGGCAGGCCGACCCCCCAGGGACAGTTTTCAATGGCCTGTAAAAGCTGCCATCCCCACCATAGTCCAGCCCAGCGGACCACAGCCATCCAGCTCAGAGAGCCAGGGTCTGACAGGTGTCACCTGGAGGCTGACAGGTGTTATCCTCACAGGAGGCCGGGACCAGGGATGCAGCAGGAAAAGTTGTCCATGTCTCCATCCTCCTGTGACTCTGGGTTACAACCCACTTGCATTCAACCTTGTGCCCTGGAAACCTGGTGTGTTGTCTCCAGAAACGCAGTGAGAGAGAGACTGCAAAGCTCTGAGGAGAGCATGGGTAGGAATGTGCTCTTTGCCGTGGGCTAGGCTTCTTTACACATGGCCCTGGCTGGGATTGGGTGTTGCCTGGGGGAGGAAGTGATAAAATGACTAATAAAATGATCAAGTCTCTTGTGTTGGGTGCTGACTTAAGCTGAGCACTGGTTTAGGCAAAGCGACTTGCCTTATTTGCCTTCAGCCTCCAAAGACATCTTCCTGACATCCCCCTCGACCAGGCAGAGGGAGATGAACCACTGCCTTCAGCCAGGACTGACCTGGGCCACCCTCTGCTTCTGCAAGCTGTCAACCTACAGGGGGTTGGTGCAGATACCTATGAGATATATACAGCAAAACGCATGGAGCCGGGGCCTCACACCTAGGACAGGAATCCTGGCTCTGCTGTTGGTAAGCTGTGAAACCCCAGGTAAACCATTTACCCTCTAGCCTTAGTTTTTTCTCAGGAAAAATGGACATAATAGTACCTATGTCTTAGGGTACCTATGAGTGTTCATTGATTACAAAGCACATACAATGTTTAGCACAAGAGTAAATGCTTAATAAAGAGTGGTCATATTATTACTATTATAACCCTGGGGATCATTATTACATGGTTTGAACCAGGAATTAATAACTTTTTCCAATATGGTATTTAAAAATGAAAATGAAGTCAATCAGACATCTAAAATCTTGCCTTCTCTAAGCCTCAATCATAGATCTGGATTCTGATGTCTAGCATTTTGAAAACGGGCCTGAAAGTGGGTTCCAGCAGGCTAACCGGCAGAGTCCCCAGGGAGGTGGCATTGGAAAGACACTGCTTAGCAGTGACTTCCAGACAAGGCGCAGAGGATGTTACACTCATGCACTTGGAACCTGACATTCCCAGTCAACCCCAGGCCAAACTCTGAGGACGATGTCGGACCTCACAGGGGGAAAACTGGATCTTTGGCCGGAATCCTTTGCGGAGCGTGGGAAGAATTCCCTTTACGGGAACTCATAGCAGAGGCGTGGGATGAGGAGACGGGCCACGAGGAACCAGAGACTGAGCTGGAGGGCTGTTTGGCAGACCGACTCAATCAGAAGGACTCTGCTCAGTGGAAGATCTTGGAGTGTCTACAGCGTGACCCAGCTTTATTCGTAAGGTTTAGAGCTTCTGGTGGATGCTGTTCACAGCGAGGTCATTCCAGTCTCTAGAGTGACAAGAGACAGCAGAAATGGATATATAAGCTTGCCTGGAAAATTCTACAGACAGAGTCTGAACGTGGTGGGCTACAGTCCATGGGCTGGCAAACAGTTGTACTTGACTTAGTGACTGAGCACCCACACAATCCTCCAAAACTCATTTGTTTTGGGCATACGCTTAAATTATGATTGGCTTACTTTGCATGAAAATCTGTGGGTTATCTTAATAAAGCCTCTCCCAGATTCTCCAAGTTGGCTGTGAAGGGTGGTCAGAGGTCACTGTCTCCGACCTTAACCTGTCCTTGGCTGTCTCTCTCCTCACTGGTCTGGTCACATCATGGCTGTAGAGATGCAAACATTTCTTGCTTTCTTCAGTAATCTGGACACAGATGGTCTCTTACTTCCAGGTGTGTGGAGGAGAACAGGTATTTCCTAAGACGCAGGTCAAGTTGAGGGGTGATGGAAGAGATTGAAAGATAACATATGACTGGCTTCAGAGGGGATAGCACCCTGCTTCAGGAAGACCTCCCACCCATCAGGGGGAGGACAGGTCATCTTAGAGCCCCTGAAAAGCAACCCCCCATGATGATTTTGGAGCCCAAAGTGTGTGGTGATGTCCCACACATGGGGTGACCCAACAGGTAGCTGTGATGGCAGGATGCATAGAGAGGACTGGGGGGAGTGGGCAGTTTCCTTGAGACTGTCATGCTTTGTGCTCTGAGCTTCCTCAATCCATGAAAAGAGCATTTCTCCTCTGAGGGAATTTTAAATGAGTTTGACACCTTTGCCACCAGCTACAACATAAAAATCATTTGGTAAAGTGTGGGCCAGAGCTATGGGGAACAGACACAGGGAGCAGCATTTTCTCAGCTCAGAGAGGCAGTTGGCGGACAGAAAACCCACTGAGACCCCTGCTAGATTCTCCTGTGTCCACAATAGTGCTTTATTTTGTGGCATCTAGAGCCACAGATATCTATTTCGATAATTAGTGAGTCTGAGAAATATTGTTGTGTTGTTTAGTTGTTAAGTTGTGTCCAACTCTTTGTGACCCCTTGGACTGTAGCCTGTCAGCCTCATCTGTCCATGGGATTCTCCAGGCAAGCATACTGGATTGAGTTACCATTATCTCTTCCAGGAGATCTTTCTGACCAAGGGACTGAATCTATGTCTCCTGCAATGGCAGGCAGATTCTTTACCACTGAGCCATCAGTAAAACCCTTGTGAAATACTAGCAGCAAATATTTTCCAAACAAAGAAAACAAATTGCCTTCAGACCCTGCAGAAGACTTCAGCTATTGTGAACTTTTCATCATGTGAAATCTCGTGACTGCCCACTGGCCCCCAAGGTCCATTCCCCACTTTGCTCTCTTAAGGACAGTGTTTTCTGAGCTTGTTTTAGGCATTTGGCTGCCCGGGTGGAAACTCACTGGGGCGGGCTTTGACTGCCTCTTAGGAGGGCAGTGGGAGTGATACATACAACGTGCCATCACCCCAAAAGGAACCTCCTGATCCCACTTCTGTATCCCCCTCTGAGTGCTGGGGGATGGGGTGGTCATCAGTGTGTATGCAGAGGGGATGACACACAAGCGGGGGCTCTGAACTCGGGTCCACCTCCCTTTGGGGCTCATGAACTCAGACGGCAGAACTCCATCTTGACTTCGACTAATCCCTGTCTGACATCTAGCCTCCCTTTCATTGTCAGATGTAGTTGACAGACAGCTGTTGTCAACAGAATCTGATTTTTACCACCATAGAATTAGGGTAATTTCATACAGCAGTTCCGTTTTTGCAAATGTCCTGAAATACCTCCACTCCTCCTATCCTCAAAATTATAATCGACGTGAGGTCTGTTGGGAGACCTTGTTACTTAATATGCTTGTGGGTCAGTGGTAAAGAATCTGCCAGGAATGCAGGATATATAAGATATGTGGATTCGATCCCTGGGTCGGGAAGATCCCCTGGAGGAGGAAATGGCCACCCACTCCAGTATTCTTGCCTGGAGAGTCCCATGGATAGAGGAGCCTGGTGGGCTACAGTCCATGGGGTCACAGAAAAGTCAGACACGACTTAGTGACTAAACAACAACAAAGATTACAAGGGAATTCAATTACACTGAAGAACAGTTACAACATAACTGGTTCTTTTATGATCTTATGAGTCTAATTTCATGCAGGTAAAAATATTATTCTAAGGTGGCATCTAGCACCTTTATCAGACTGAAGCTCCTGAGCGGTCAGTTGTTAACGTTTTTGAAAGGTCACCGTTAGCAAGGCAAAACTCCATGTAAACCACCTTCTGAAACCCTTTGCTACAGTCACCACAGGTCACCCTCTGGTTCAGCCCACGAGGATGTAGCTGACCCCTGCGTGCTGGCGCCTGCCCCTGGGGTCCCCTGTTTAGTTTCTCTTGGCTTGTTTCCCGCTCAGGGAAATTGCCAAATGCTCTTCTTAAAATGTTTTTCCATAAACTGCGCTGACTCGCCCTCCCATTAGCAGTGTTTCGTGTGTCCTGTGTCCACATTCCAAAAAGTCTCCCTTGGCTGAAGGCCCTGCAGAGCACAGATAGTTCCGAGGCCTGG